CCCCATTCCCAGCAGCTCAAGTACTGCCAGTACGAGCACCTCCGGTACCAGCAGCAATAGTAGTACCTCCAGCTCCAGCAGCACGGCTCCACCGCCGGGCAAACCACTCGCGCAGCTCCTGTGGAGAGAGTGGCTCCCGCCTCGTCGAAGCACCGCCGGCGGCCACGCGAGCAGACTCAGCGCCCCCAGGCTCTGCACCCCCTGACTCAGCACCCCCAGGCTCAGCACCTCCAGACTCAGCACCCCCAGGCTCAGCACCCCCAGACGCAGCAACCCCACGCTCAGCACCCCCAGATTTGGCACCCCCAGGCTCAGCACCCCTAGACTCAGCACCTCTAGACCCGGCACCCGCAGGCTCAGCAGCTCTAACAGCACCAGCGTCAACAGCTACCTCGACAGGCTCGGCTGCGTCTACCTGTGATACACCTGACAGGGCAGGACCCAGAGGGGGGAGGGGGTCTACCGAAGAAGAAACTGGCGCAAGGAAGAGCGGGGGTGGGGGAAGCAGCACAGTGCAGTAGGGGAAGAGACGGTAGTAAGGTACCAACTCGTCAAAGGTGACGTCCTGGGAAGACAGAACACGTCGCGAGGTGGGGTGGTAAAATTGCCAACTAGGCGCGTTAGGGGGGAAGCCAAGGAAGACGCAGGGAACAGCACCGGGGGGACAGCTTGTCCGCAGACAAGTCGCGGACAAACGCCCGAGATCCCCAGGCCCGGAACGCAGATGCATCGCCAACATTCCACGTCCACCGCAAGGTGGGGGAGGTCTCTTGCAAGGAGACCCGGGGCTGAAGGTTAAGCTGATGCGCGGCGTACTGAACTTCAAACGGCCACAGAAAATGGGGGGCAGCCACATGCATCATGGACGTACAAGTGACGTCCATGACCATGCCAATGCGGCGCTCAGCAATCCCATTTTGTTGTGGAGAGGCCGGAAGCGTGAAGGTCTGGCGGATGCTGTGTGCACGTCAGAAGGCTCCCATAGGGGCAGAAGAAAAGTCCCCGCCTTTGTTCGAGTGCAGACGCAGAACAGAAAAGTCCGAGCCGAAACTCTCCCTGAGTTGGAGACGAGCTGCGTGGATCGAGTCGATCAATACCTCAGTGATGTCACCCTTGCTGCGCAAGGGGAAGACTGTGGTGTAACGCGAGTAGTCCTCAACCACCAATAGGAAGTAAGAACAAGGGCCTAGCGTGTGCAAGGACGCGGCCGGGGCCCCACACGTCCATGTGGAGAGTCTGCAGCGGAGCCTCTGTTAGAGGAAACTCGGAGGGGTGAGGGGCGGCGCAATGTCGCCCCTCGACGCAGGGGACGCAAGTAGGGCCAGGCCCCGGAGGTAGGGGAGGGAGACACCGGGGGAGACCAGAGACAAGGACACGGGAGGCCATGCCTCGGAAACGAGGCAGGGAGGGGTGACCAAGGTGGTGGTGCCAAAGGAGAGTGGTGGGACAGGAGACGACATGAGCTGGGAGCAGACTCACGACCAGACCTGGACGCTGCAGCAAACACCTGACTCGACGCAGCTTCCTGGCCTGACTCAGCAGCCGGAGGAGACTCAGTAGTAAGGGTGTACAGGCTCGACCCTGGCCGACGGGTGAGCGTGGCCAAGTGTCGGCCTGTCCGAGCACACGTGCAGTGGGTCACCCGCTGACGAGCAGGAGTGAACTGGTCAACCCTCCTATCCTGTAGGTTCGCTCCACACACCAAGTTCGTAGAGAACAAGGGGAGGTAGAGACCTGACAGGGTGCCAGAGAGGGCTGCCGGGCATGGTAAGACAGTGGAGAAGCTAGCAAGGACAGGACCCCCAGAGGGGTTTGCAAGGGAGACTTCAATCGGCCGACCATGTGGCGTAGCGTGGTGCGGTCTTGAAAGAAGGAGTGGGATGCACCCGAGTCGAGGGTGAAGGTGTGTAAGGCCTGAGCAACGTAATACCTGAGAGAGCAGACTCACCAGCACCTGGGGTAGCAGAGGCACTAGCACCCAGAGCAGCAGCCTCACCAACACCTAGAGCAGTAGCCTGGATGCCCGGATCAGGCGGTACACACAGGTAACAGTCACCCTCAACACTAGCAGTCACAGCATACATGGCAGCAAGGATAGCATCATAGTCAAGATCAAAGATGGCAACCCCCGGCCTAGACAGATCTGCCCAGCGAGGGATCTCTAACGCCTCAGGGAACTGGTGACGCCACGCGTTCATCACGTGGCTGAAGCAGCGCTAGGTGGAGTGGGGGCCCCCGCACTGCTCACCAGCGTGGTTGCCGGTACGAAGGAGATAAGTGCAGGGACCAGTACCCCCACCGCGCTGACGCGCAGCGTACCACTCACGAAGCTGCTAAGGGGACAGGGTTTCACGACCGCACTGCTGGTGCTGGCGCGAATCACCACCGGACCCACTTCTCTGCGCAGAGTCGCGACCACCTCCACCGCCGCCTCGACCACCTCCGCCACCTCCGCCGCCTCCGCTCCCTCCGCCACCACCGCCGCCTACTCCGCCTCCACTACTGCCACCGCCGCCGCCACCCCCGCCACCACTCCCACCACCACCCCCACCCCCTCCACTGCCACCACCACCACCTCCACCGCCCCCGCTAGCCCCTCCAGCTCCCTTGCCCTCCTTGCCCTTGCCGGTGCGGCGTCTCCCGCTACGGGCAGACGCAGCGCCGACCCCGTAGATATCAACAAGGTCGGCAGCAGCAGCAGAAGCAACAGAGGGCAAGAGGGGGGAGGGGGAACACCCCTCAAAGACGGGGGTGCGAGGGTCACCACGAGAGGCTCCTACAGCGAGTATGCTCTTCTCTGCTGCTAGGAGGCGCTGCTCGAGGTGGTCAACGGTGAGTGTGGTCGGGCAAACTGAGAGGAAGTGGTCCCTGACTAAGCAAAGAGAGTCAGGGAGCCGGGTGACTATGTAGTAGAGGGTGATGAACATGGGGGGAGGGGGGTTCTTGGCGTAGAACTCAGTGGGAAGCGCAGCGCGGTAGCGAGTGTCACTAGTGCGGAGGTGCGTAATGAGGTCAGCAATTGTGGGAAAGGCAGCAAGGTCAGGGAAGAGGTACGATAACATGAGGCGGCTCAGCGCAGTAGTGGCAGGGGAAGAGTAGCGTGCAACTATAGCATCGTACAAGGTCTGAGCACTCTTGTACTGGCTTAAGTGCGCACGCTCAGTGGTCAGTAAGTGGCCACGCACAGCAAGACGAGCAGCAGCATCGCGTGTCACCCACTGTGATTGAATAGTTCTGTCAGCAGTGGCAGACGGGGCAGGGGAGGCACCAGAGGTGAGGTCGAACAAGGAGAGGCCGTCTGCCCTATCGCACTGGAGGAACAACTGGAGGTCATCGACCCGGACCTCAAAGTCAACAGCACAACCCTCATTATCAAAGGTAAGAACACTGGGGGTAGCCATGACTGCAGTGGCCTAGTAAGGAGTGCGCTCACCAGTCGGAGTTAGTAGGCAGGGGCGCGTCGGTAGGACGAGGAGCGGCTCGACGGCAGGGCGGCTCGGCTGCTTAGCGGCTCGGCTGTTGGGCGGCTCGCTTGCTTAGCGGCCCGGCTGCTGAGCGGCTCGGCTGCTGGGCGGCTTGGCTGCTCGGCTGCTGGGCGGCTCGGCGGCTCTGCTGCTGGGCAGCTTGGCTGGTGGGCGGCTCGGCGTCTCTGCTGCAGGGCTGCTCGGTAGGGGCGGCGTTGGGGCCATTAGGGGCGGCGACGGGGCCGCTTAGAGAGGGGAGCGGCGACGGGGCGGTGTAGTGGCGGCAACAGGGCCGCTTAGAGGCGGGGACAGGGCTGCGTAGGGGTAGCAACGGGGCTGCTTAGGGTCGGCGACGGGGCCGCTTAGGGTCGGCGACGTGGCCGCTTAGGGTGAGGGGCGGCGACGGGGTCGCTAGGGGGTGGCGACGGGGCCGCTAGGGGCGACGACGGGGCCGCGTATGGGCGGCGACGGGGCCGCGTAGGGGCGGCGAAAAAAGCGCGTAGGGGCGCGTAGGGGCAGCTGGCAAAAAGGCGCGCCTCGGGCAGGAGCGTCTGGCACTCGAGTCAGAAATGAAGTTTTCAGTGATGGGCCCAAGGAAGCGTTCCCACTAAGGAACCTGCTCTATACCATGTGAAGAATGAGGAATGGATGAACTAGCACAGAGTTGGATACATGTAGGAAACCCTAGGAAACTGTACCTCATAGTGTCTACCCCACTATAGCCTACACAAGCTATATAATATGAGTTTGACACGGTGCCACATGAGCAATTTGCGAAGGTGTGTACCTCCAAGATTTAATCCAAGAGGCGCAAATTGCGACATCCGTGAACATCAAACTTCATTGCGACAACCAAAATGCAATCGAAATTGCTAGCTATCCTGGCTTAGTCAACCGCACCAAAAATATCGCACTCCGGTAGTTTCTCATCGAAGTCCCAACACAAATATGACTAGAGTGAGGATGAAGACCAAGGGACATTGACTGTTATCAGAGGCCGTTGCAAGTAGGAGTTGTGCAAAATTCAAGAAGCGGAAAAACCATTTGAATTGTTACTGAACCACATGGATTTCCTCAACTAGACTAGCGCTAAAGAGAATGTACCCCTGTAGAGTATGTGGCTAGCTAGGACCCTTCATATTCCCGTGTATTCCCTTCTGAATCACTGTGTCATTTTGTTATAGCACAACAAATAGGTTCCATACCCAATCACAAGCAACCTTCAGCTGCAACACTCAATCAACCTGACACGATCCAACAAAACTTCACTTCAGATTGTAACACCATTTACACAAGAGAGAGCACCGTATTCTCCCAGATAAAACACCCTAGGGTATTATGAAAACCTCTGGGAAAAAAGGGGGGGGGGGGGGGGGGGAGTATAGTACAAACGGGGTCGGATATAACACCCACCCCGTATTAGCTACCCGGGGGTGTACAATTACGGGGGGGTGTTTTATCCGAGAGAATACGGTATGGGAAATTTGATAATCATAATGTTCATTTGTTTTTCAATTAACAACACCGCATTTTTCTTTATCTAACGTCCCCTCGCAACACTACCGCCACCAGCTCCACCAAGCTTATAGAACCCCGTGAAAGTGCAATTCTAGTGGAGGAGCTGGTGTCCAACTTCAATAGAATGTTATATAGATAGCGTAGAAGCAAACGGCCATTCTGGTCAAATGCTGCAGATCCCAATTCTTGCCTTGTTTGGACTTGGCGTGCAAATCTTCACTCCAGGCTTTAACGTATCTACGCATTCATACCCATTCATTCTCCTGTAGCAGCCCTTGATGCTGTAGAAGTACCTCGCATTAATGTACTTGCAGTCATCCCCTGGTGAGAGGGTGTACGTGCTGGTTCTGGAACAGATGCCTGCTGTGAAGTTGGTCGCGCTGCCAATGCAGACCTGCAGCCACAAGAGAAGTGGCTCGTGTCATGGAGTGGAGTAGGCAATGGGGGGAAAAGCAGCAGCAGGGAACAACGGTCATTTGCAGAGGGCAAAGCACACAAACATAGAGTGCTTGAAAGACACCAATTTGCAGCACTGCTGGCATGAGCCTAAACTCCACTCAGCATGACCCTGGCATAAAAGTTATCATCCCTTTATCCGTTTTCTCAAAGTGACGTCATTCCTGATTTTCTTGTCAGTTATCTCTATGTCACCGGTGCGAGTTTGCCATCAACCGTGGTCAGGGTTCCCATCCCATCCTGTTGGGGTAGACTAGAATTTTCTCTAACATGCAACATCCTTAGACTTTCCGGTTATGCTCTGACGTTTCTCTGATATCAACATTTGTTGGGCCACCTTCTCAATGTCCCCCGACTGCACACCACCGGTTGATTATGCCATCGTTGACCAATTATGCGACCATGTGGTGCTGTCCACACGTACCTCACGCCACCTGCTCACCAGTTTTCCACAGCACCTGAATAACTGAGCCGTCAACTTGACTTGGGTGTCTCACTCAATTGCTTAGCCAACTTGTATCTCTAGTCTTTTCTTCCATGGAAGACCGTGCACCACATTGCTTAACTATCCCCATCCATCATGCTGCATGCACCCTACTCCATGCACCACTGTGACCCACCTCCGCACCAAAAGAATTTCTTGAGATGATGGAGCCCGAGTATTCCTTGAGGGGGATGAGCTGGTTGCAGTTGACGCCGGGGTTGAGGCGGTAGAAGTCCACGGGGCTGAGAGGAGGCTCGGCCAGCTGCCTGATGCTGTCGCATGTGTCGTTGAGGCGCGCCCGGTAGTACTGGTCGCACACCACCGTCAAATTTGCCTTGGCGGGGTCCCTCTCGATGCACACGGCCTGGGAGGGCCTCAGGGAGGAGCAGTTGACAGCGGGGTTGAGCGCGTGAAATGCCGCCTCACACGCCGCATCGGACGCCGCCGGCCAACACAGTTCAACCTGCCGCCCCACCCCCGCACACGTGTCGTTCTGGAAGGACATGGGGAGGAAGAAGGACATCACAGACAAGCATGGATTGACAGAGGAAAGGCTGATCCACAGTGGGTCGATAATCGGGCTGAATGGAATATCATTTCTCCGAATGGAAGAAGCACGTTGGACATAAGGGGTCAAACAGACTGTGGTTCAGCAGTTCGTGGAGTCACAGTGGTGCTGTGTACTGTGTGCTGTGTCCATGCGCAGCTGCCCATGGCTAAGGTTAACCCCCAGATGGGGTCCTCACGAGCAAGGTGTTGTAGAAGACAGAGCAGGGTTGCTCTGTGGAGTTGACGCGCAGCCTTGAGTTGAGGTGCAGAGGAGCAGAGCAGGCGATGCCCTGTGGGCCATGCAGTGGGTCGATGGTACATGCAGGGATGATGGCACATGCAGGGACGATGGCACATGGAGGGACAATGGCACATGCAGGGACGATGGCACATGCAGGGACAATGGCACATACAGGGACGATGGCACATGCAGGGACGATGGCACATGCAGGGATGATGGCACACGCAGGGACAATGGCACATGCAGGGACAATGGCACATGCAGGGACGATGGCACATGCAGGGATGATGGCACATGCAGGGACAATGGCACATGCAGGGACGATGGCACATGCAGGGATGATGGCACATGCAGGGATGATGGCACACGCAGGGACAATGGCACATGCAGGGACGATGGCACATGCAGGGATGATGGCACATGCAGGGACGATGGCACATGCAGGGATGATGGCACATGCAAGAGACAATGGCTGGACTATCACAAGTGAATGTTATGGTGGGACAAAGGAGGGCCAAGAAAACTCGCACTGTCCTGCATGAACCGAATGTATGCGCCCCTCGGGAATCTGCAGCATGCAAGCATTTTTAGCAGGCGGGGTGCTTGAAATAGTTAATGGATAATGAGTACCTCAAGCATGTGCCGCAGGCAGGCAGTCAGGAACCTTGTTCTGCTGCATGATACCAAGGGGTGCAGCCCTCAGGTACCTTGTTTGCTGCATGATACCAAAGAGTGCAGCCCTCAAGTACCTTGTTCTGCTGCATGATACCAAAGAGTGCAGCCCTCAGGTACCTTGTTCTGCTGCATGATACCAAGGGGTGCAGCCCTCAGGTACCTTGTTCTGCTGCATGATACCAAGGGGTGCAGCCCTCAGGTACCTTGTTCTGCTGCAGGAACTGGTCCAGTGTGAGGGCGAATATGGGATGCACATCGGAGCACCACACGTTGCTCTGCCGCACGGTGTACACCCCCCCTGCATCTCCTGCACCACACCGGCTCACATATTCAAAACCCAGCACGACCATGTCAGTGAAAGCACGATTGGAGCACGAGGTGCGAGCAGACCAAGAAGCATGCAAGAAAAGTCATAGCATGGGCCATGTTCAGTTGGGCAGGCGCAGGTGTTACCTACAAGGGTTGGTTACAAACCGGAGCACAGGAGGAGAGCAGCAGGGGGGTGCTACCCGGAGCACAGGAGGAGAGCAGCAGAGGGGTGTTACCCGGAGCACAGGAGGCGGTGTTGGCGAGGGTGGTGCCCTGGATGAACCCTGGGGGACACACACAGGAGTAGCTGCCCTTGCCATCGTTCACACACGTGCCCACCACACACGGGTTGCGAGTGCTGGACCCACACACGTCCACTGAGGGCGAGGTCAGATGAATGGGGTTGGCGTCAGATTATGCTTGAGCATGGGGGTGGGTGGGGAGGGCATGCTGAGGGCGTGGAAGGAGGTGAATGGATCAAGCATCAAAGGGTGTGGGTGCACGCATGGGCATGAGCGGACATTGCACATGTGCAGGTATAGAAGAACCCAACTTTAGAAAGCGAGGATGATGTACCTTTCAGTATAAAAGAACTCAACAGAACTCTCTGTCAAGGAAAAATTCCTTTGATGCACGTGTCAAGAACTTTCAAAATCAGACGATGCAAAATCAGCACTGACCCTTCCCGGTGTATGTTACCATAGGCACAGATGTACGACCCATCGGTGTTCTTGACTTGAGCAAAGCGAGCGTCAGTGCACTTGCAGCGATTGCTGGTGCCCTTCTTGCTGCAGTTGAACCGCCCACACGGGTTGAAGGCCGGGCCTAGAACGCCGTACTGGAAGGAGCGTGATCCACACGGATCAGCACTGCCTGCTCAATACCTCAGGTGGGAAGGGGGTGTGGCCACAAGGCTAATGTGCTGCGGTACAGACGGAGGGTGAATTCACCAGCTGTCAGCAGAGAGATGCAAAAATCGACAGGTAGAACTATCAGCCTCACTTCTGACGACCGGGAAGAGGCCTGGGAGAGTGTTGATGCCACAAATGCCATCTCCACTGCGAATGTCCATCCGCATGTGGCCCTGGTCGCCCCAGCCTGTGCCCCATGAGTTGCGGATGATCCAGAAGGGCGGCGGCACGGCAGAGTTAAAGGGGCCCGCAGAGAGGTAGCCCACCACCAGCACCACGTGATTCAGGTGGTTGCTGAAACACTCCTCGTCCGCATACTTGCCTCTCTGCCCACACACACACACAGTACATGTGGAGAGAGGACACACAACAGAAAAACATCTTTTGTAAAACATGTGCAAATAAATACTACGAAACATTTAAGCTGAACCGGTCACTCAGTCCAACAGATCTGTGCACAAGAATCCACGTGCACCTTACCCAAGACAGGGTGTGCAAAGGACCAATGGCTTTGTATATATGGGGTTGGTTTCAGTGTCCTAGCATTCCCTGGCTTGCATGTGGAATCATTTCATTAATCTTACATGATTGCATTCTCGTGTCTTATTTCTTGGTAAGGGAGCTCAATAATGCACACTGTGTGGCCTTGGTTTTTTTTCTCAATTGATATCAGTTTGGGTTAAGGCGCCTTACCCCATTGTAGTCCTGGAAGGAGGGTGCCTTACCCCATCGTAGTCTTGGAAGGAGGGTGCGGACGCCTCGATGTGCACAATGACAGGCTGGCGCTGCACTGCCAGCATGAGCCCAAGCCACCTGTAGAACCCCGTGCGCTCGATGCCGCGAATTCCATAGTACGTGGGGGTGCTCGCCTGAAGGCAAGGGAGAGGAATCTGAAGAGAGAGATAGACTGCAGACAGAATAACATTCATAGAAACAGTGTCACAACCCCCCACCAAAAACAGATACAAGCAACAACGCCTAAACTGAAATAGTCAATACATGCAGCAACTCACCAACGATCTTCCTTCAAGAGCCAGCCCTTGAGAGTACGCAGCCTCCTCCAGCAAGCCCTTGCCGTGCGCGGTGGCGTTGAGGAGGAACTGCAGCGCCTTGGTGGGCGAGCCACCGTCGCAGTTGGAGGAGAGGGCGAGGCGCAGATGCTCCACCGACAGCACGGGGGGGTGCGCCCAGTTGCTTGCAATCCTGTGGGCTGCCTCCACCGCTGCCACCACTGCGTACGCCCAGCAATCACCTGGAGGAGAGCATGAGGGGGGGCACAATGGGATCAGACACATGTACTGTCATAGTTTATTGCGAATAATGATTGCTGGCAGGTTGATCTCAAGATAGCTTGTAGAAAAATGCTCCTATAACATTCACAAACGGTTTGTGGTGGGATGGGAGACAACAAGGTACACAAAGTCTTTTGGTGTCACATGCCCCATGTTGCTCACTCCCACCCACAAACTTGGCATAGACGCAGAAAGAGTGTGCAAGCGTTGTGCGGGAGCATAGCATGGGGAGGGCATAGTGTGCAGAATGATAAGTAAGACCATTAAAGCCAGGGTCTCAAGTGACCAAGTGCTTTGCAATCGATGAAAAACGGGCCTGTTTGACTGGTTTACAAATTTGGGGCCAAAGTTTTGACAAATCGAGACTCTCCAAATAGCCCACTTTTCGCCCAAGTGCTTTGCAGTTGCACGGCCAGCCCGTACATGAGACCGTGGCTTTAACCTCACTCGATGCGTGGCTACATGTGGCTTCTTTGGCACATTCAATTCTCTCATTTCAAGAACTCTGATCCCCCTCATCACATATTTCAACTCCAAGCCATACCTTTGTTGGTACAATCGTATGGTTTGCACTCAGCTTGCTGTCTTTGTGTGTGCATGCGTGCTTCCATGAAATGGTATAGGAAGATAATATATTTTTCATGTTTATCATATTGTGTGAATGATGAGTCATGATGTCAAATGTGTGTGTCGAGTCAATAGCGAATTTTAGCTAGTCACATGTCATGTCGGCATTTGCGTGTCGTGTGCACTTTCTATTCTGACGTGTGTCGATCACTCGGGGTGTCGCAGGTGTGTGCAGCAAGCATTGAAGAACTCAAGAAAGAATTTATGCTCAAAACCCGGAGTCTTGGTTTCAAGAACCAAGTAATTTCAGAGTTTGCAAAACACAGAAAACACCAAGATAGTGATACTAGTTACATTGTACTGTGTAGTGTATCATAGTTATTTGTGTAGACTTTTGTGGTGGGTGATTTTCACACCGTTCGATGTTGAGGACTATGTGGCACTATTCCAGCTCCCTAGAACTCGACTTTTGGGGTTTGTAGATGCAGAGTAATCCCCTACTCATAACCTTTCTTAAGTTTTAACGCTATAGCTGCTGTTATACCGCTGTTCACTCAAACTATTCTCATGTTGTTTGTTCTTTATTAAATCGTGTAATTCAACATGGAAATTGTACATCACAAAAATGTGTGTGTCTGGAAATCATCTGACCATTATTTTTTTTCACAAGGGTTCCAAAAACGTTAGAGAATCATTCAGTAATCATCTAACTACCATTTGTATAGCATTTTTGTCATACCAGATGATATGCTGATCTTTCATTAACGGTTTACCAATGTTTCAATGGTTTGTTTAACAGATGATGTTTGTTGAAACAATAATAAGGTTGCATAAATTTGTGTTTCACAATCAATTTATGTTATGGTTGATCGATATAGTTGCAACTTAATCGTGCTTCCTTACTTCTGAGAGGCAGTAAGGTAAAAGATTTTTAATGGGAAAAGTTAAACTCTAGAATCCACTGCCAAGATCTGAACCCTGGTCTTCATAGAGCCAAATATCCAAACTGACTGGACCACAACGGACACATTCTGCTCACGTAATTTATTTATAAAAATTTTGAACGCGCATTTTCCTAGCATCAAAGTGTCGACATCACGCCATGGTCCCCAACCAGCCCAGAAATCTCCCTAACCAACCAAATTCGCCTCAGTCAATCCAGCTCAGCATACCACTTTGCCCAACCAATCAAAGCCGGCATTGCATCCACCTCAACAAAATCAGGCCCAACCACCACCAATCATGCCAACTAACCCACCCCATCCACACCACCTCTCAACACTCTACCCGTTACGCTTGCACAAAAAAGGTGAAGTGGGCTCTCAATTTGCTATTCTAGAGTGGCTGTGATTGATTTCAGTTTAGTTCTTCCTTACCTTAGCACGTTTTCCAATCTCGTTATCTCAACCGCCGCCATAGTCTCAACCGCCCCCATAGTCTCAACCGTCGCCATAGTCTCAACCGTCGCCGCAGTTTCAACTGTCGCCATAGTCTCAACCGTCCCAATAGCTCGTGATTTTTCGCAATTGTCACGAGTGCGCCTAATTGGCCGTGTGTCTTTCCCCTCGTGCACTCCGTTTCTTTGTGTAGGTGTGTGCTCCGTTTCAATTCCTCTTGATCAACATGTGCAGGTCGAAGCTTAGGTCTCGCTGTTTTCTGATTAAGGTCACGTCCGATCCTTCCCTGAGTTAGCCGAAATTGTTATCTAACTAGTGTCGTTGGCTCTGTTTCTACTCTCATGCAGTCCGTTTACTTTGTGTAGCCTTGTGCTCCGCGATGCATATCTCTCTCCGGGATTTAATTCTTTCTTATCCCCATGTGCAGGTCGCGCGGTTTCCAGGTTGAGGTCGCGCTACGTTCCTACTCTTGCGCTTATGTGAACTGCTAGCTAATGAAACGTTTTCGTTCTTGTTCGTTTATTTCGCTGGCATGCGGTTTTATGCTGTATTTCCTATTAATCTCCGCTTTCAAGTACTCCTTTTTCAGGTAGGCATTATGTTTACATGTCACTGGTTTAAATTCATGGCTAACTCTTATGGTGAACTGCAGGGGTTGCTTGGTGATCTGCAGATGGTTCTGTCTTCGGCCAAGACCATGCCCACATCATGTATAAGACGTAGATCACCCCCTGCAGTAGGCGAGGGTAGTTCTATATATTCCTATCTGCCATTGTGCCATGGATATATTTTACATGTTGTTGGCATTTCTATTAATGGGAAATCTGAATTGTTAATATTAATAACGTTTGTGGAATGTCCAATAATAAGCAGTATGAAGTCAACATTCAAACTCACTGAAGAGTACAATGCAATCAGATCTAGTCTCCAAAATCACTTCGTGAAAACTCATACCAAACGTCAGTCGAAGGTATTCAAGATGCAGTTTTGAACAGAGAAGCATTCGAGTACCATTTGAAAAGCATTTGACAAAGCATTTGGAAAACGACCCATACTTTCTAAAAAAAGCGTTTGAAACCCTACGTTTATAAATCATTTGAAAAAGCTCCAACGAACCTCTATTCATCGGCTTTCTCGACGCTGGATTTTTGTGATGTAGACGGTGTTAAAGCGCTAATGATTCAATTGATAACACGTCATTTAGTGATGTGGTCAGTCTGCTATCAAGTTTCAAACCGCTCTGCAGAAATCAGTCTGTGCACTCTATCTTTCATTTTTGGCACATTTGGGCCTATCGTGACTATAAAATGTGGTATCAGAGCCTCTAGAAGCAGTTTTGACAATTGTTAGACCTGAGGAAAGGGGTGGCAGAGGTGCTAGAGGCAGTGGAGAAGCCCAAGCTCAAGGCCAACCCCGTCCCCCCATGGCTTCTATTAGGGATGGATGAGCAAAATGGCAAGTGCGGGTTTGGTTCGCCCGAACATGTTCGGGGGCGAACCGAAGTTTTATGAAATTTTTCTTTTTTTACATGTTCAGACGTTCGCGTCACGCACATGGTGAAAACTTCTAGTTTCAAAATAGTTTAGTTTAGTGGACCCCTTTGCAGGATTCTCAAAACAGGTTTCCATGGTTTAAGGGTGGGTCAAAGGGTGGGAACGGTAAAGGAATGAGCATCCAATATCCCAACAAAAGCTCATATCTTTTAAAACATAAGCAGATTCCCCCCCCCCCCCCCCCCCTTGCAATGGGCGAACTCGAAAATATTCGGGTTCGCCCGAAACTGTCAACTGTTCAGCCCCCCCTTAAGATGTTCGCCCACAATGGGCGAACATCGAACAAATCATTTATGTAAAAAGTGTCCGGGCGAGCCGAACATGTTTGGTTCGCCCATTGAATGTGATCGTGACTGTTTGGGCGAACATGTTCGATGTTCGCCCGGTACTCATCCCTAGATTCTATGCATCCAAGTTTTTGTCGTTTTAAGGATGAGCTTAGAGTGTTTGGCCTTGCCAAGTTCAATATGGACAACTTTGATGAGTGGACCTTCAAGATGGAGAACACATTTGACCAGTATGATCTGCTGCAGGAACGGGAAGCGTCTCGAGGACCCGGAAAAAAAGCCAGTTGGTGCGGAAGAGCACACAAGGTTGTCTCCCACCTATGTTGGAATATACGCGTTTAGTGTATATACGCGTATCGTATATACGCTATCGTGTATACGCTAAACGCTCAGGGGTCAGTTTGGACATACGATTTTTCAAGCAGGGGAGAAATTTTCCCAGGCAGGGTGAAAAAATCGTCGTGCTCAACATCAAGAAGATGTTCACTTTTCTAACTAAGATTTTCGTAGCATTTTCCTAAATCTGAACGGCGATTGGGGTGGGATGTGTAGTAAACATTATCGCTAGGAGTAGGAATCGGAATGACCTCTACTGGAAGCGGGAAAGAAAACTAGAAATGACAAGTGAACTTGGGCGGGCTGGTAAGTAGCGTGACTGCAATTTGTTTGGGGGAAATTCTACAGGTTGGAGTTTGTAGATGGGAAGGGTTTCAATGTGGTACTAATTGAAATTGTATATCAGAACTGCCAGACGTAACCGATATCTTTGAAGGCAGATTCCCGCTTCCCTAGACCACCGAAACGCATCTCGACTTCGGCGAAATGCTTACCAGGAGATTCTGCATCTTTCCGTACACAATGTTTTTTTCTTGGGCAGCCCAAAAAAAATCTGACTAAACGCTATACGCTTTAGGGTCTGAGCGTATATTCCAACATAGTCTCCCACTTAAACAAGCGTTGGGAAACATCCAAATCTGTCACATCAAACCATGTGAACCAGAGGCAAAACCAAATGCATGGGCTAATCTCAAGGGTGTACATGCTCCTACAAGAGCGTCGATAGTGGTGGTGTTGGAACAGCAAATGGTGTCACATGCCCCGTGATGCTCACTCCTAGGCATGATCATTAGGCCCGACCCGACCCGACCCGACCCGACTTGGGCGGGCCAGCCGGGTTCCGGGTCGGGTCGGGTCGGGTCGAAACAGAAAAAAATCCAGGCCCGACCCGGGTATTGGGTGCCGGGTCAGGCGTGACCCGCCCCCGGGTCGGGTCGGGTAGGGGCCGGGTCGGGTCGGGTCGGGCCAGGACCCCATATGAAGTGTGTAGGGGTTTCCTCAGTACTGTCCAGTGTTGCAAAGATTAAATGTTTGTGTAATTTATTATTATATGAATGTCCTCCCATATGTAAACTAACTATTCAAAGTTGTGTAAA